GATGGCAGGAGTGTTCACACCTGCCTGCTTTAATGTTTTTGTTGTCCTTTGATCTGTCCCTTTAGAACCTTGGTTCTTCCAGGAAGGAATTGACTTCAGCATAACCGATGCAGCCTGAAGCATTTAAATTGAAAAATTGCTTTCTTTATTCTGCAGTGGATGGAAGCTGGGGGCAGTGGCAATCATGGAGCCAGTGCTCTGCTTCCTGTGGAGGAGGAGAGCAGAGCCGGGTGCGCCTGTGCAGCAGTCCAGCCCCATTAAATCGTGGCCGTCCTTGCCCTGGGGACTCCTCCCAGATATCCAGGTGCAACACCCAAGCATGTCCTGGTGAGTGTTTACAGCCTGCATGTAGTGACAGTGTGATGAAAGCCTGTGGCACTCCTGACTTCACTGGTGCTCTCATCTTGGCCAGTTGACTGGGTTATTTAATTTTTTGGGTTTAAATGTGCCCAGAACTAAAGCCCAGTTCTCCCTCCCCTAAAATACCCAACAGTGCGTATTACACAGGGTTATGTTTTGCCTCTCCCCATCCCCTGCACAGGTGGGCCTGCACGTGCCAAGGGCAGCATCATTGGCAATATCAATGATGTGGAATTTGGGATTGCTTTTCTGAATGCCACAGTAATGGACAGCCCGGATTCTGACACCAGAGTGATACAGGCAAAGATCACAAACATCCCTCGGACCCTTGGTAGGCCTCTTTGATCAGTTTTTTCTCTGAATACACCAATACCTTTGGTCTTCTGGTTTAAATCTGAAGGGTTACAGTAGTTCAAGGTCTTCATATTCAGCTTGCGTGCATATGGGTCTGTAATGAGATCAAAGCTCCCCAATTTTCTGTGGTGTTTCCTTCAGGCCCAGCCATGAGAAAGCTTGTTTCCATACTCAGCCCGGTTTATTGGACAACTGCCAAAGAAATTGGGGAAGCAATGAATGGGTTTACGCTCACTGACGCCATCTTCAAGAGAGAAACTCAAGTGGAGTTTGCAACTGGTGAGTTGCCTGGGATAGATCAGCTCTTTTTGTGTCCAGTAAGCCAGACGGATGCTGCATTTCTGAAAAGACAGCAGAGGACCATTGCTGAAATTTGGGGTTTGTGCTTACACTAATATTTTCAGACTGACTGTAACCTTCTGAGGCTTTATTCCCCCTTCTAATTTGAAATTTAGCTCTAGTTTGAAATATGTCATGTTTTTTCTCATGGGCATGGTACATCTTACAAAATAGAAGTATAAATAACTGGAAGAGGGACTGCAGTTTCGATTCCATGTGGCTGTTGAGAGTCTGTGTTGGGAATGTGTGATAAATCAGTGTGCTGTTAAACTGCCAGGTGAGATCCTGCGCATGACACACGTTGCACGGGGCCTGGACACAGACGGGACCCTGCTGCTGGATGTTGTTGTGAGTGGCCACGTGCTGCAGCTCCAGTCCGTGGCTGATGTCAGTGTCAAGGTAAAGCTGCTTCATGCATCTGTCCTTCTCTCACCCAGGGGAAAGCAGGAAACACTGAGTCCTGCAACCTGCTCTACTGTATGTGACTTCTTTTGCGCCTGGTTGAACTGATGGTGCTGATGTTGCCTTTGAAAGCAGAAAGTTACCATGAGGAGAGAGAGTGGTGTCGGTCTCTCAAGAGTTTGAGATTGGCAGTTATTGATGGCTGGCATGTCAGGGTTGCTTTGGGCAGAGCTAGAAAGGTGCATCTTCAACCTCTCTGACATAGTAATTAGTAACTGGTAACCAGTATTTTACTGTATTAATCCCACCATGCAGTAAATATACCTGTAGTTGTTGCTATTTTGGAAGACTGCAATATGTAGTATGTCCAATACTTATAACCCTCTTCCATGGCAAAATTTTTCTCCCCACTTGTTTATTTAGGACATTTGTCAGCATCTAACTTCAAGTAAAAGCCAAATATTTAGACCTCAGAAGATTGTTATTGAGGAGTCAGATATTTTTTAGAAAACTTCTGTTGAGTCTTCCATCATCAGGATCCTCAGTACATCAGTCTGTATCTTTTTTAAAGTAATAGAGCAGGCAGTGTTAAGATTCAACAGGTAAAATAAGAGTGAAAAGGACCTGTGTGTGTGCGGTACCCTTTGTTCAGCAGTTAAGATAAGCCTCTTTCTCTAAACACATCTCACAGCTCTGAAGTACAGGTGTGGTGCTGGGTGTGGGAGCAGCTGATGGCCAGGGTTCTGTTGCAGGATTACACAGAGGACTACATCCAGACGGGCCCTGGGCAGCTGCACGCGCACTCCACACGCCTGTTCGCGGCAGACGGGGTCAGCGTGCCCTACACGTGGAACCACACCATCACCTACGACTCCAGCAAGGGCAGGATGCCCTTCTTGGTGCAGACGCTGCGCGCTGCCTCCATCGCCACGGAGTACAACCCGCTGGAGGAGGCCGTGGCTTTCCAGATCCAGGCTTCCATTGCAAAAGGTGTTGTTCTAGGCCTTCCCAGAAATAAGACAATGAGGAAAGACTGTCTTCTCTTCCTAGAATTCATTGAGTCACCCATAGTCTCAAAAGAAATTCTGTGAAACTTGGGTAGCTTTAGCATAGATCCCAGGACCTGAAAGTCTTGTTGATGTATCCATAAATGAACTATTAGTTAGCATTGCTAACTGCTGGATTTTATGAACCTGAGTGACCAAAGGGGATAGGCATGGATTTGTGGGAGCAGATTTTCCTTTATGAGCAAGCTGGCCTCTTACTTCTTCTAATGCTATTTGGTCTTTCTTTTTTTTTTATGTGGTAGGGAAATTACTCTGGTTTGGAAGTACATGAAACAGAGGGGTTGATTGTCTCAGTCTTTCTTTTTCGTAACAAGATTCTAAATTAAGTAAAATAAGTTTTTTCACACTTGCTAGACTAGGGACTCATTGTATAATTTGAAAACCAAATGCATTTTTTTTTCTAATTTAAAAAGAGATCTGATAAAAGGGAGTCTCCAGGTCAAGATATGCCTGTGATTAGATCTGGCTAAGCCTTTACTGAACTTGTGTTTATTTCCTTCAACAATTAAGACACTGGTGTTTAGGATTTTTTTAAATTTCGGTTTTTAAATTTCAGTTTTCAAGCAGCCAAAGCCCTGTGTCCTTTGAGGAGTCTCACCTTGAGTTTTTCGTTGCAGTTTGTAGTACGCAGTTGTGTTCTTCTACAGTGACCTCCTAAGATTTGTGACATGGTGATTTTTTTGCTTTGGGTCTATTGTCCTCCTTTTATGTGAAGTAAAACTGAATGTTTTTTATTCTTTCAATAAGAAACTTTCCAGGATGCATTAGGCTGGGATGAGACTTGCAGCTCACTCTGAGGGGACCCCCACACACCTGTTCAATATTACTCGAACCAGCACAAGCCATGTGTGGCAAGCAGATTTCTCTCTCTCAGGATTTTTTATAGAGGTGTACAGAGAGAAGAAAGAGAAAACAATTTCTATTTCTACTCCTTGTTTTTCTCATGTGGAATGTGCTTAGAGAATTTTTTACCTGGGGTGATTGCTTGATTGGATTCTGGTGAGGATTGTTTGAATCTGATGGCCAATCAGATCCACCTGTGTCTGGACTCTGAGAGAAGGGTCACGAGTTGTAAGTTAGATATGGTAGTTAGAAATAGTAGGTATGTAATTTTAATACCTTCCTTTAAATAGTATATTAATGTATTATAGCATAGTTATAATAAAGAAATCATTCAGCCTTCTGAACTGGAGTCAGACATCATCGCTTCTTCCCACCGGGTTCACCTGCATTTACAATAGCCATGCAATACTGACTTTTAGTGCCAAAGTAGAAAAAACAGTAAAGCTGGATTTAAAAGTTTCTGTTTCAATGTTGAAATATAATAAATACTGTAAAATTGCTGGGCTGCAATTCGTACTGTTAAAGTAATGAAGTGGCTATATTTTTATCCACAAGTGACATGTGCTTCCTTTGTCACACAGGGGATCGGAGCAACCAGTGCCCTGCAGGGTTTGCTTTGGACTCATCTGGTCCTTATTGCTCAGGTAATGACTGACAGGGGTGGGTGTAACCATGGAGTCCTGGAGTGCTTTGGGTGGGAAGGGGCCTTAAAGATCCCCTATTTCCACCACTGAAGCCTTCCCTTCTCCAGGTGAACACCCCCAGCTCCACAGCAGAGGGGCTCCAGCCCTTGACACATCTCCATGGCGTCCTCTGGACCTCCTCTAAGAGGTCTGTGTCCACCTGGTGCTGAGGGCTCCAGAGCTGGACACATTATTAAGCCACCAGAACCTACATCCCCTTTATTTAGAGTTCAAAGTATGCACTTCAAAAAGTGTTAGTTATCCTTGCTAAAAGGGTGTGGATCCAAGGCCAGCTGAAGATGTTACTTCAGTCATCACCTACAATATGAGTAGTGTCCAGACAGCTTTTAAATCAGTACCTCGTGTACACCTGGAGGAGACTGAGCCTCAGGCTCTGCTGAGCCTGCAGAGCAATGAAGGACTTGGGTGACCTGTGTGGAGGAAAGGCTGAGTTTTGGCACCTCAGACAGGAGCCCATGTGTTCCTGCTTGGGGGATGGAGGTGGAGAGAAGCACATGAACACCCTGGCTGTCTCACTAAGAGTCGGGGTTGTTTTAGGGAGAAATCATCTGAGATGATTTTGTGGAATAATTTCGTTACCTCTGGAAAGATTGAAAATGAAGGGAGTTGCTGGATCTGGTTTTGCCCTGTGGGCTTTACTAGTCACACCCCTCTAAGGAAGGATCAGATTGGAGTAGTTTATTGGGAAGTCTCACTGTTTTTTCAAACATTCTCTTGTTCCAGATGAAGACGAATGTGCTGTGGGAAATCCTTGTTCCCACACCTGTCACAATGCTGTGGGATCCTACTATTGCTCCTGTCCCAAAGGCTTCACCATCTCTGCTGATGGCAGAACATGTCAAGGTAAGAAAGGTGCTGCTGTGGACAGGTTGGATACAAATGCCCCTTAGATAATTGAAGGCCTTAAAATGCCTTAAGAGTCACGTAAGTTGCTAAGGAGAGGTTTTATTTGGGCCGTTTCCTCATTATAAGAACACAATTTATTGGTGGTACTCTTAATTATTTCATAGCTGAATGTACTCATGGCCACGTGTTTCTAGTTGCTGGTGCTGAAGGCACTGGTTGGTGTGTCCCCTGTGCTGGCTGAGCAGGGTTTGCAGCTGGTTTCCCATTGCAGATATCGACGAGTGTGCTCTGGGGGGGCACAGCTGCCACGCGGGGCAGGACTGCGAGAACCTGCCCGGCTCCTTCCGCTGCGTGCTGCGCTGCGGGAGCGGCTTCCGCAGGACGCCCGACGGCCTCGGCTGCCAAGGTACGTGTGGGCTTCGTCAGCTCTCCTGCAGCTGAAAATGCTGCTCCATGCAGCTGAAACTCGCTGTAGAGGGCGTCTCCTGTCTATACATTTTCATTCTTAAGGCTGTGGATTTTTGGTTTTTCTGTAGGTTTGGGTTTGTTTTTTAATCTTTTGCTTCTTCTGTCTTTAGAAATAAATTTAAAATCCTGTCAGGGAAGAAATTAGCATTCTTGGGTTTGTGTCCCATGTGCATTCTCTTGTATAAAGATGGGAGAGAAGCAAACACTCCTGAGTAGAGCTCACCCAAACCCTGCTCAGGTAGTGCCCACAGGGAAACTGCCAGCCCTGGTGTCAAGGATTTGTCTTGTTCCACAGACATTAACGAGTGTCAAGAGTCCAACTCCTGCCATCAGCGTTGCTTCAATACCATAGGAAGTTTCCACTGTGGCTGTGACCCAGGATTCCAGCTGAAGGGCAGAAAATGCATGGGTAGGGATGAAGTTCTGAATGTCCATTCCCTCCTTCCAACAGACAGAGTTCAACATTTATTTGTTGCTCTATTGTCTTATGAAAGAAAATGCTGTTATGGATGATACACTTGATGTACATTTCGGAATCTGTCAAGCAGTACTGAAAGCCAGAGGCAGCAAGAATTGGACTGACTGATCCATGTGCATGAAATGATTCAATGTGTGGATACAGGGTAATTTCATTACATAATTGAGTCCAATCCTGCTTTTTTTTTTTTTTTTTTTTTTTTTTTTTTTTTTTGGCTTTTGTTTGAATAAGATGTCAATGAGTGCAGGCAGAACGTGTGCAGGCCTGATCAGCTCTGCAAGAACACCCGTGGTGGCTACAAGTGCATTGACCTGTGTCCCAGTGGAATGACCAAAGCAGAGAACGGGACTTGCATTGGTGAGCAGAAGCATTAATGCACTGTGTAGCTATAGGAAACACAGGGACAGTGATGATGTTTATTTTTTTAAATAATCCTGAAGATTGTCCATCTCCAGTTATTAATATTTGCAGATACTAAAGCACCAACTTGTTTTTGCTTATGGAGCATGTGTGTTTAATGTTTTTTGTAGTTAGTATTAAAAAGCAGATGTATCCTTGCCACTTCTAGTTTTCCACTGTTTTTAAGTAAGAACAGTAAGATTTCTCTTGGTGTCTTTTCTGTGTCAGAACCTAGATTTCTCTCAGTTATTCATTGACTGAAATGTTCTGCTCTGTGTGTGCATGATTTCTTAAGAGTTTGGCTCAGGAGCTCTCAACCAAGATCACAGGTCCCTGCTGCTTATCAGGGAGGGTTTTAAGCACAGCTGATGTTGTAGGTGGTACCAAAGCTTTTGTTCCAGTGGAATCATGGGATGATTTGGGCTGGAAGGGACCTTAAAAATCACTTATTCCTACCCCTTGTTGTGGGCAAGGACACCATCCACTATCCCAGGTTGCTCCAAGCCCCGTCCTCTGAGAAGGGCAGGGATGGTTTAGCCCCAGCTCCCTCCCCCAGTGAGGATGAGCAGAGCTGTGACTGTTCCTTGCCGTGTGCTGCAGATGTTGACGAGTGCCGGTCGGGGTCGCACCAGTGCCGCTACAACCAGCTGTGTGAGAACACCCGCGGCAGCTACCGCTGCGTGTGCCCGCGAGGATTCCGCGCCCAGGGCGCCGCCAGGCCCTGCGTGGGTAAGCTGCCACTCGGTCCTGTGCTCCGCTTTTGCCTGCCTTTCTGCTGCAGCACACCAGCAGTGCTGTCCCTGTGGGAGACCGTGCTCTAGGGACACGTTTGCTCTGCGTTTCCAAATTGGCCATCTAAAATGTTCCATGCTAAACAAACAGAGCTAAACGGTTCCAAACTACAGATGGTTGGGCTGTACTTGCAAAACAAAGTATAAGAGGGTCTCAAAGCACTGGTGGATGGATGTGGCAAATAACCACCCCACAGGAGGCTTCAGTTATAAAAATTAGGTGGGGTTTGTCGATGTGCTGGCTGTGCCCTGGCCTGCCCTGGTTCACCCCTGAAGGCAGTCACACAGGGAGTCATATGGGTTCCCCTAGGGAGCACACCCCAAGGAGCTGCAAGAGGCCCGACAGACCCAGAATGAGTTTGGCTCCTGAACATCCCAAGTACACCTGTCCTCCCATCAGGACTGCCAGGGCTGTTCCCCAGCAGCAGAGCACAGGGACCTGATCTGCATTTCTCCCTCAGTGCTCCCCTCCTGGCATGGGTGGCTCCCAGGAGGGAAGGATTAGGATCCTTGGAACTCACAGGAATGTCAGCCATGCAGTCACTCCTTGTGCCATCTTGGCATAAAGCCACACAGGGATTTCTCCTGTATCACAGGAGGCCAGGGCAAGTGGACAAGCACTTCCCCTGGCATTTAAGAGACTTTAGGAAGGCAGAAGGATCATTTAGAATCACCTTTACTGCATTTATGTCAAATATTTAAAATGTAAGAGATGACCTATTACCATGATAATGAGGATTTCTGAATGCGTGCGACACCAAGTGAGGTTGGTTTCGGTTGCTGTTACGTATGTCAGAAAAGCATTCCTCCCTGATGACTTCTTCAAGATAAATATTTTTTTCATATTTTATTTTGTTTAACAACCTAAGATTTTGGACTGTCAAAAGCCAGGAATGTTTAGGATTTTTTAGAAGAGATTAAATTGTACTAAGGAGTGTTTGGCTGTAGACCAAGATATAATATTACTTCTGCCATCTGCCTCTGTACTGAAATAAAACCAACTCCACACTTTTAACTTATATTTAAGCCATTTAAACTTCTGACAGGAAAAAGCCAGGCAAAGTCTAGGACTGTAGGTTTTCATAAAACACAAGCAGCCTTAAACCTGCCTTATGACCAAGTGCCACTGAAAGCTCCCTCCTAAAGTATTCTTTTATCCTTTATATTTTTACATTCCTAAAGATATATTTAAAATTTACATTCATCCAAAGTATTTGTTTTGTTAATAAAATCCAGTTTTTATTGTCATTGTTGACAGTGAGCACAGGGAGGAGTTGAAAACTAAACAGGGCTCAGACTGAAACAGAAGAAGTGAATTTTGCTCCTGCCTGTGCTATTTTTACGCTGGATGAAGCCCTTTGTGCCACAATTCCCTTTTTCGTTTGTTGTATGGGGATAAGATACTCCTTTGTGACCCCCACAGAGCTGTGTCTGCCCATTTACCTGAATCACAGAATTTCTGGGAGCTGTGTTGTTTTCTCTCCTTTCCACATGGGTGGAAGGGCTTTGCTAAAAGCTACTATAATGCAGATTACACATGCAAGACTATCTAGAACACAAAATCAGGTACTGTTCTGCAAATTAAAGCCTGAAAATGTAGCTATTTCAATTTCAAAGTAATTTTACCTTGTTCTTGTAAATATTATGGTTCCCATGCCTCAGTAGCGTCTTCTCACAGGGGCAGCTCTGGAACCAATGCTGGTGATTCCCTGCAGTCAGTTCTGCTTGTATTGCACAGACTGCTCATTGCGCAGATTTTCACCTGTTTTCTTTCATAATTTCTATGAAAAGCTTCTATTGCTGATCCACAACTTGTTCCAAGGACACTGGTTGAACTAAAGACATCAGTGTTAATTTATTTTAGGCAGATGTAGAATGCAAAAGTCAGCACTTGAATGCTAAGGAAATAATTGTTTTCTTTTACATGTATATGAATAATAAATTTTTCATTTTAAGCACATACTGAGATTAATACACTTAAAATTCAGATCAGTTGTTGTCATACTTAAAGTGAAATTCTTGTTTGTAACACTTGAAAATTATACCGTAAGGATAATTCCACAAATATGTGAAGTTTCAGTTGTGTGTTTGCCAAATAACAGTTGGAAAATATTGTAACACTCTGCAATTACTACTTCTGGATTTCCATCTCTTAATTAATTTAATTATTAATATCCCCCTAAATTGTTTAAAACCTTAAATATACCAAATATTAACCACTTCAAAAAAGTACAGCCTAATGGTCTATTATATTTCTGACAATATTGATTTTTAAATACTATTTTCTTGAATTTGTGGCTTGGGGAGTTACAAGCTGTGCTCAAAAGCTTCCTTTCATAGAGGATCCAAATGAAACTCACAACCCTGGCTTGATGGCATTTTACAGTATTATTTGAAAGAATGCAGACCACTATGGAATGATAAAACTATTATTGAGTTTCTACTAGGAGAATATTTATAATATATGTCAATTATTGATATGTTGTGATGTGTGTTAATAGCAGATTTTTTATTTCTGGTCATTGCAGAGTTGTTTGGAATGAACAGACTTCTGTCTTTTTCTGGTGAAATGCTAAGCTTGAAAAGAAATACAGTATGTGTCAAATTTCCAGCTAAGCCTGAAGTAACTTGATAAAAACTATAGAAAATTTCTTTCTGGTAGTGTCAGAGAGACTGTGGGAGAAGGTCCTGCAGGCCTAAGAGCACTCAGAGTTTCTTGGAGGGAAGGACACTTGGCATGTTGCACCCTCAAAGCCTTTACCATACTTTGTATACTCAGCACTCAGTTTTGATTTGAGGATGGATATTTGCTGCTGGTCTAAATAACTTTGGACTTTAATTTAAACAACTAAAAATATACATTTCTTAGGAAAGCAAAAATAATTCTATTTTTTAATTGTCCAAAAGTGAATTAATATGTACTCTTGAGTTTCCAACCTGTCACGACCAATAACAGCATCAAAAGTTAGAACGTACCTGACCTCTTGCCCCTGCAGCCTTGAAGCATGTTCTTGAGCCTGATGCCACATCCCTGGAAGTGTCCAAGGCCAGGCTGAGCAGGCTTGAGGCAGCCTGGGCTAGTGGAAGGTGTCCCTGCTCATGGCAAGGGGGAGGACTGGCTGAGCTGTAAGCTCCCTCCAACCCAAAGCATTCCATGATTCTAGGATTCCCCCCAACACGAGGCACAATAACCACATCAGAGCCTGTTGTGCTTCTCTTAGTGTGGGGTGTAAGGAGTTTCTAGCACTGTACTTCTCTAGAATGCTCTGTGTTGAGCATTGTCTTTTAAAGAAGGGACCAGCAGCTTCTTCCACTCACCTGTGGAGCACTTAAGGGAAAAAACCCAATTACTAAGAGAGTGTTGAGCATCTGAGGCTGAAACAAGGCTCCTGTCCTGGTGAGCACAGTCACATCAGCCTATGGGAGAATCAAGGTCTCTTTACAGTCCAGGACAGTGGATCCTACCTGCTTGGCCTAGTGCTCTCCATGTTCTACTGCCTCCAAATCTTGCTTTTATGTCTTCAGCTTGTTCCTGAGACTGAGATAAATATCTGTGTGTATATATACGTATAGTTATGTGTTGTTGTTTGTTTGTTTTCTCTCCTTTCCACATGGTTTGGGGCTCTGGATCATGTCACATGAGCAGACATTAATGAATGTGAACAAGTGCCTAAACCCTGTGCACTTCACTGCACCAACACCCCCGGCAGCTTCAAGTGTTTCTGTCTACCTGGGCAGCAGTTACTGGGTGATGGGAAATCTTGCGCCGGATTGGAGAGGGTGCCAAATTCGGGTGCCTATTACAGTAGCTATAACTATGCTCAGTTCTCCCCTGGGAGAGACAACCAGCAACTGCAGCACTATTACAGGCACTCCTCAAATCTCTACAGCTCCTTCTCAGAGTATAGGAACAGCAGAATACCCTTCTCCAGGACTAGAAGGAACCTTAGAGAAACTTGTCCTGAAGGCTATGAGGCAAGAAATGCCAGATGTGTAGGTAAATGTCAGTCCTATCTATGCAACTGTGTTTGGGGCCTTATTCTTAGGTTACTGTGTGATATATACCAGGGGCTGAGGGTTTGTGGTGTTGGGGTTGTGTTTTCTATTACCCTGGTCAATATTCAGAGGGTTCTGCATGTTCTGGTCTCTTCTGTCTTGGCTCACATTGTAGCAAAAATGTTCTCAAACTTGCCTTATAACCTTTTGTTTTAATTGTGCTGCTTGTTACCTGTTTGCAAAGAATTTCCCTCTGTTACTTTCTTTTTTCCTGGTCATGGTGGCTCACCTTGATGAATCTTCTCACACTGCAAAAACCACCAGTATTCCCAGCCTAGTTCCAGTGCTTCTGTAGACTCCCATTGGCAGCAGTAATCTGTGTCAGAAAGGTTTGGAATAAACATTTTTGAATTGATCACACTGGGGCCAGTGCCAGCACTGCCACAGGACCATCAGCCACTGTCACATGGGCAACAAGCAGAGAAGCATTTATTATTATTATTATTATTATTATTATTATTATTATTATTATTATTATTATTATTATTATTATTATTATTATTATTATTATTACTATTACTATTATTATTACTATTATTATTACTATTATTATTACTATTACTATTATTATTACTATTACTATTATTACTATTATTACTATTATTACTATTACTATTATTATGTGAGAAAAAGGGTTGCAATGTAATTCAGTGAGCATGGAGAAGACATCAAACTTTTAATTTAAGCTACAGATAGGTTTCAGTAGTCACATCCATGTGGATTGTTATGGTATAGGAGTTTAATTGAGAGACCCAGGAATACAGCTCTTGAGAGAAGGAAGGGTTTGTTTAACATTTGGATCTTCATCCCAGCTTCCAATTTGAATTAGTTAATATTCCATGAATATTAACAATATTAATATTCAATGAAACTTTCATTTCATTGAATAAATACATGAATTTTAAATTATTGTTTAATATGAAAAATACCCCCAAATGATGCTTTTGTTAAAGCAAATCCTTTCAATAGGCAACCATCAGGATTTGCTAACAGCACAGAGGTTTATAGTCACTGCTGTTTCTCTTCTCTGTTTGCATTTTGATCTAATGCAACCCCTGTCAGTCAGACAGAGGGGAAGTAAAGACCTTCCTTCCACTGATTTAACCTTGCAAGTTTGAACTCCTTCATGAGATTACTGCTGTCCTGAACTAGGCAGATATTTCAAAAGCCATTACAATTACAAATTATCTGTGTCTAAATCATGCTAATGTGCTCTGTAAACTTTACATAATGTGGTTTGGTATTGGTACTTCTGTTTTAAAGAGAGAGATAAAAAAAAAAAAAAAAAGAAAGAAATAAAAGAAGAGCATTTAGTGACAGTCTTCCCAGCTACTGAGCCTAATTCATCCCTCTGGCATGAGGGATGCCAGATTTTAAAGGTCAGTTTAAAAAGGAAACAGATTTGCCTGAGGAGGGAGTGACTGTAAGGAAGACTCCCTCAGTAACAAGGCTTCCTCTGGTGAGATAAGGAGTGTGGGTGTTCCCTAAGCAACTTGCTTGGTACCTGGTTGATTATCAGGCAGCTCAAATTGCTTTGGGGGCAGGACTGTGTTTGTATGGCCCTGGCAGTGGACACAGGTGGCACATCCCCCTTTCTCCCAAAGCTCTGTCTCACGACTGGTCTCCTCAGCTGGGATCTGTCACAGCTGCTCTTCACCGAGGGGAGAAGCCCCTCAAAGCTGACTTTAGTGCCTTCAGAGTTAAAAGGAATGGCACAGGTAAGGAGAGAGGATGCTCTAGTCTTAGATGTTCAACTCCATCAGAAAAAAGATCCAGACAACTCCCACCAAGCTCTGTCTGTACACTTGCAGTACATAAAAGGGGGGAAAGTACCTGTGTTCATGGCAGGCTTAGGGAGTGCTGAGGTGTTGGTGCTTCTCTCTGCAGACATCGATGAGTGTGAGAGCAGAGACACGTGTCAGCACGAGTGCAGGAACAGCCTGGGCAGCTTCCAGTGTGTCTGTCCCGCAGGATACCGCCTCATGCCCAACGGGAAAACCTGCCAAGGTACGGAGAGCATCCCTGCAGTGCTCTGGGGGAGGTCTGCCAAGACACCTGACACAAACCAGGCCCAGCACATGGCTAAGCCACCTCTCTGCTTTGGCTGTGTGAGAGTCAGCGTTCAAAATCTCAAGTTTCAGAAGTTTTTATATTCCATACTTTTTTGTTTCATAAAATATCAGCAAACTAGACAATTGCAACTTCTAATTCTCTGCAGTTCCCCTGTGACTTTCTCATTACACATTGGAATCCAAGCTCTAGGGTCAAGCAGAGACACATTCTGAGCTCTGCTCAGCCTTTACCCACTTTGTTTTTCACCCTTTAATTCTTATACCAGCAGTTGATCCTTTGCATGTTTTTCCATCCAGATATTGATGAGTGTCTTGAAGAGAACATAAATTGTGGATCAAATCAGATGTGTTTCAACATGAGAGGAAGCTACCAGTGCATAGACACTCCTTGTCCACCCAACTACCAGCGAGAGCCACATTCTGGGTATGTTCTATTCTCAGCCCCTTCTCACCTGCCCCAAGCTCAGCTCCTTAACCTGTGCTTGTTAAAGAAGAAAATTTAAATTTGCCTGACACCAGCAGAGCTCACAGTAGCTAAAGGTAATGCAGTGACATTGGAGATCAGAGTCAGAGTGTCCTGGTATGGTTTGGGTTGGAAGGGACCTTAACAGAACATCCAGTTCCACCCTCTGCTGTGGGCAGGGCCACCTTCCACTAGCCCAGGGTGCTCCAAGCCCTGTCCAACCTGGCCTTGGCCACTTCCAAGGGATGGGGGCAGCCACAATTTCTCTGGGCAACCTGTGCCACTGCCTCAGCTGCCAGGGAAGAATTCCTTCCTAACATCTAATCTGAATCTCTCTAATGGTCTGACTTGCTATCAGCTTCAAAGCATCAGATAGATTCTTTTAGTCATGAAAATAATTCTAAGTTCCTGTTAAGCTTTGTTATTTCCCTGTTCTGTGAAAAAAAAAAAATTGATTTATTTTAATCTTTCATTATCATCAAAGAAAAATAGCTTGTTTCATAGTCAGAAACCATCTTTTGGGATCAAACTCAACTGCAGTGACATCTATGCTGACATGGAGGTCATTTCCTTTGACCTCCATTAGCACTGGCAAACTGCACTAGCAAAGATTTCATGGTTTAACTTTTGATTATATAAAAGCAAATTTTATTCTGCCCTTCATTCCAAATTCTTTATTTTATGACCTAACAGACACACACCTCAAAAGTTGCCCAGAACATTTTAAACTAGATCTTCCCGTTCTAATGTTTAGGAGCACAGTCACTAAAACTTACCTTACAGACATCAATGATATCAGTGTAGCCAACATCTTTCTGAAATGATTCTGTTGAGGTAAATAGAGATGTTAAACTGGGCTGCAGCTCTAAAGGAGCAGTGCATGAAGAATGCATCAGCACTTCTAGAGAAGTTTTAATCTGCAGCAGGGAAAACAGGGGAAGAATTTCTCCTCTAAGACCTATCCCAGTGCTTAAGATATTCTGCCTTCTCCCTGGGCTCAAGTCTTCTGCTTCTTCCTAGGTTCTGTCTCAAAAGCTGCCCGGCCAACGACCTGGAGTGTGACCTGAGCACCTACGCCCTGGAGTACAAGCTGCTGTCGCTGCCCTTCGGCATCGCTGCGGGGCAGGATCTGATCCGGCTGGTGGCCTACACGCACGACCAGGTCATGCACCCCAGGACCACCTTCCTGATGGCGGACGAGGACGCTGCCGTGCCGTTTGCCCTGAGGGATGAGAACTGGAAGGGGGTGGTGTTCACCACGCGGGCGCTGCGGGAGCCGCGGACGTACCGCATGGGCGTACGGGCCCTGTCCTACAGCGCTGACGGCAGCGTCGAGTACCGCACCACCTTCATCATCTACATCGCCGTGTCCGCCTTCCCCTACTGAGCGCCGGCAGTTTCAGGGCCAGGAGGTGCTACTGCTTCAGCCCGACTCTGCTGCCTGCCCCACACGGGCAGCTACTTCTCTTCAAAGGGTGCTCTGCTCTTCTCTCCTCCCCTGCTTCCTGGAGGCTGCCTCTCCGGTTCCATTGTTCCCAATTCAAGAGGAAGATCCATGGCTCTGAGGATCTGTTACCACTTTATTTATTACACTGGAATAGTCACTTTCCACAGTATGTTCTGCAAACCAGCAGAGAAATCCTTGTAGTCGAAGCAGTAAGCAAGGAGCAGCCTCTACTGAAAGTAACTGAAGAAAATCCATAATTTCAAGTGCTCTACATATTTTAAAGGTTGCTAAGTGTTTTAAATTTTGTATCTATTAGATTTTTTCCTTATCAATTACCCAATAGAATTAGGGCTGTGCTGTACTATGCTGTGTGCTCAAACCCACAAATGCCGCTGTGCCCAAGGGTTGCAAATGCTGAAACAAAGGACATTAAAGTTTGTTTGTGGCTAACAAATCTACAGGAGAATTTGGAACTGGTACCTTTGGTTTCCATGCAAGTGTAGAGATGTTGCTATTTTTTGGAAGAAAAAAACAAAATGGCTTATTCTACTTTATAGAGCAGGTATTTTATAACTTGTTTTTACTCTGCCATTCTGGTGTAGCCATTTATTTAACCCAAACCCATATCCACTGCCATACTCCCAGCTCAGTAAATGGTCTGGGGTTTTACGCACATGGAACACTTTTCTCCAAAGGTGATGTAAGTTTGGTTCAATAATGTCAATACACTGTACACAAGTAATTTTGCCAAGATGTATTCTATTTTTATGGACGTGTATATATGTGGTTTTTCCTATGTGTATTTTCTATGCAGTATCTCAAGAGTGTTTTACAGTTAAGTTTGCATAAAAGGACAATGTCAGTACAATGAAACTAATCAAAATAAAGGTTCCCATCACCTTTGAGACTGCTGGGAATTTTGTCTTTTAAAAAAATTCTTTTCCATTTCTAAAGCTTTTGCCCTTAAGTGCTGGGTAATGCAGAAGGTACTGTGCCCAGCAAACCAGGGAGTAGCTCCAGCTCTTTTCCCTCTTCCTGGCACTCTGGGGTAGTAAGAGATTATCACCACCTTTAAAGTAGATTTTTAGCTACAGGGACAAATTTTGTCTCTATTCTTGTATATTATTAACTAACTTTAGACATCCCCATTTGTTGTCCCCTTGTTTTTTCCCCCCTTTACAGTGCACTAAGTGAAGTAGTCCTGCAAAACAAGGATGACTTAAAATTGCTTTGTACTTTATACAAATTTATCTGAGTTACAGACTTCAAACTGAACAAACTTGCTTCTTGGAAACCTGATTTGAAAAATAAAAGTGGCTCAAAGAAGACAAACCCCATGAAAAAGACCCGAGGGAAGGAGAAATGAGAGTAAGTTATAATAGGTACAGGTAATTATCTCAATGTCTTTTAAGGATGAGAATCAGACTGAAAGTGATGTCCTTTAAGGGAGTCTAATTCCACTCCCAGAACACAAAAATTTCTACTCTGACATATTTTGTGTGAAGGGAAAAAACTCCAACAGAGTTGACAGCCTTTCTGACCAATCTGACCCTAAAAGAAGTAAGTCACTTACCAGATGGAAGCCACTTAATTACAGCCATGCCTCCAAGCTTGCATTCTCATCCAGTCTTTCCAGGAGCCAGCGCAAGGAGGAGCTGCTTGTCCGTGTGGAAGGTGTTCCTTACCCTGAGATGATGCCAGGACTGAGGGACCAGTGAGATGTGGGTCACTGTGAGCGTGGTGGTTTTCACTCAGGGACTCGGAAGGGAAGTGCTGAGTGAAGGAGAGCCTGTGCCGTGGCCGCCTCTTCTTTGGACATCTTGGAGCTGCGTTACAAATTTCATTTCTGCGCTATTAAACAGGTTGCAAGTGTGTTAAATTAGAGCAACTGTACCAGCTGCTGCTCTACCCTCATAGGCCTGTTGCTGACAGGCTGGAAAAGCTGCTGCTTATCATTAGGTTTCCTGGTCTAACTTGAGAGGCAAGGGGGCAGGTTAGTACATGTTTATGTGCCCACATGAACTTGGGTGTTTGCTAAAGGTTAAAAATCCTGCTTTCATAAATACAAATTTTAAATACAACAAATATTCTACCGTGTTTATTACCACCTTGGATAAGGCTGCCCAAACTTTAGATGCAATTTTCATTGTCTCAGGGCTGTACAGTCACTTTGTCCAAGACCCTCTATTAGTCTGCAGTAATATTTGCAGTTAAAGGTTCACTACCATCCCATGAAAAGCTGATATTTGTCACCATATTATTTGTCACAAAACTATTTGCAAATGCCCTCCTATCACAAACAACTTACTCTTTAATAACAGCATCATAACAGCAATACCACCAGAAAAATAATACTTAAAAAAAATAAAGGGAGGTCTTAGGGAGAGCAAATTATGAACAGATAGTTAATGATCCACTGCTACCTCAGGTCTGTGCTTACCTTCCTTCTGCACAAGCCTACTGTTCCCCTTGATTATTGGATTTTCCGGAGCAGTGTTTTCTCCTGGCCCATTTATGCCTGAAACACTGTCCTGTGCCACAGGCTCCTGGCCCTCACCTCTGTGCAAACATAGCTACATTTCATTAATTACACTACCAGGATCAAACAAATCCTCTTTTGCCATCTTCCACAGGGTGTATTTCCCATAGTGAGGAATTTGTACACGGGTGGTTTCAGGGTGATACCTGGTGGCATCCCAGCAGCTGGGCACAAGTCTCCTGAGGCTCACCTCCCGGTGGGCACACCTTGGATCCCAGCCACCTGCTTGCTGCAGCAGTGCCCAGAGCACTCAGCCCATGCCCGTATTCCAGGAAAACATCTGCTAAACCCCAGCCTTTGCCAGAACACAGCCAGACTCACTCTTCCTCCCAAAAGCAATCCTTACTTGGTAAAGCCTAAATGAAACTGCATATTAAATACAGCCCTTTGCAAAAATCCATGTGGTTCCTTTCAAATCTAAGGTCTAGGAGAGGAGTAAGGCAGGAAAACAAGTTCAGGGATGAAACCAGGGCTGACTGGGGCCAGAAAGGATGGAAAATTCACAACCAGCATCTGTTAAAGGTAACTAATGCCCTAATGCCAACCCCACCACAGCATCAAGTATCTCACAGCCACCATAAAAGGCAGGTGTTCAGGAACCAGAGGCAGGTAAGGAATGCCCATCATACCTTCTGTAAGGATCCAGCTCTCCCTGGAGAGAGAAATGCACTGGGGCTTTGTTTTCCTTTGCACACTGGCTGAAGTGAAAAGCTACTGCATGGGTACAGTAATGAGCCTGTGCTGGATGCACAGCACTGTTGGCTAAAGGAAAAACATGTCATCAGGTGAGATGGATGCTCAGCCGCTGTGCCTGACTGGGAAATGTCCACTTCCAAGTCAGATGCAGACAGTGGGTGCGAAACCAGGCCGGATGCTGAGTAACGCAGCCGTCACTGCCCACAGCGGCAGGGCGCTTACAGGCAGGACGCTGCTCCCGGCTCCAAGGGGGAGTTCTGGTGTCCTTTGCCTTCAGAGGCGTTTCTGGTTCTGGCAGCTCAAATCCAAGGCTGCTGCCAATGAAAACTTGGCACAGTGCAACAGTTGAAATCCATGGATTATTTTACAAGGCTGGAATCCCAGCGCCTGCCCCGCTGTTGCACACGAGCAGGAACAGCACACACAGCACTGGCTGTGGGATCCCCTGGCCAGGGTGCAGAGGAGACACTTGGCACATTTCCAGTTAGCTCTGTCAGGATATGGGATGCACAAATGCATGGAGGGCTTCTGGGCAGTGCTGTGCTTTGTTTCTGAGGAGAATCCTGTAGGGGTCCTCTGTCCTTGTGGGCTTCTGGCCTCTGATCCAGTGGAGAGCTTTGATTCAGCCCAAGACCAAATGGAACTTGTTGCCATCACTCAGTACCACAATGAAGTCTGGAAAACTAAAGCACCTTCTTCACCAACTTCCATTAATGCTGGAGAGTCTGAATGGCTTAAGTGCTGCTCTCTTTCCTGAGGGGAAATCAGAGACATTTTCAGCTCTGGCACATGCAGAAGTTCCCCATTCATGCAGAGCTGCTACTCTACAGGGACTACAAGAACTCTTAGTGAATTACTTCATTTGCCCCTTGTAAGCCTGGGGAAACTGAGAGGCACAAGCCTCTGGGTGTGAGCTGGGACAGTGAGGAAACACCAGAAAGTGCCAGCTGATGGCCAGAGCTAAATGGGTGCTCAGACATCACACCTTCAGAGCACTGCTCTAACTGTCTCAACATGCAAGCAGTGCATCCAGCCAGGCCCTCTGAATAAGGTTAAACAGGATCTCTAGCTGGCTGCAGAGTTTTATAAACACATTTGCATGTCTGGACACAATTCCAATCAGCTCTCAGATCATTGGGTTCAATGTTCAAATCTTCAATGCACAACTGGTGCCAGATTATTCTGCTTTGATAAGTTGAGTGTTAGAAAGGGAAGCAAAGGAGACTTGCTTACAGATAAAGGCATATGGATAAAAAAGGTGCACTTCAGCACTAACATAGATTCAAATAGTAATTCATGAATAACTAAATAATGGGGGCACCACGAACATCATCAAGCCAAGGGGCTGTTCAAAATACACAGCAAAGGTTAAGAAGTGCTCTGAAGCACTTGCTATGCAAGGAGAAGAGGATCTGTTATTTTTCACTGCATGTAAGCCCTGCACATCTCCTGTGGTTCTGGATAGCTTCAGTAGACTTGCAATGTAGTGAGATGCAGCTGGCTTCCTTATTAATAACTCCTCATTGCCAAGGACTGAGACAAGCTCCCCTCCACACCTTTGAACAGATTACTGCACAGCAGTCACACAGAACAAGTCCTGCCCTCCTGCTCCATCACAAGAAGAGTCTCAAGGACTCCACTCACAGGGATCACCAGAGAGGCACCAAGACATCTGCGCTGCACAACCCAGAATTCAAGCAAGGCCAAACTCCTGCTATGCAAAACTGTAGCAGAACCACTGGCAAACACAAAGCTGTAGGCAAAAGCTTCAAAAAAGGAATATATGTAATCTGGGGTCTCCAGCTTCAGAGGCAAAACCCACCAGCATCCCTAAAGTAAAGAATCCCATGAGTATTCCCCATTACCACCGTCCCTGATAAACACAGTGGCACATAAAAAAACCCAGTTCCAAACAACATCAAGGTTCGTTCACAAGATTTTGGCTGCATTGCCTCTGGAATCTGCTTATGTAGATGTAAAAAATGAGGTTTGCAAACCTGGGAGAAGAATGAGTTCCCAAATACCACAGGAACAACTGGAGTGTGCCAGCTCTTCACATAAAGCAGTCAAAGGAACAGGACTTTCCCATGCCCAGAGAGGAAAATGCAGAGTTCTCTGGTGCCACTGCATGACTGACTGAAATGGAAGAAGCAAAAATAACATGAGAAAACTACATGAAAACACACACTGAAGGGACTGCAGAAGTCCCAGTGATAAGCAGGGGAGGACAAAGCTTCCTTGCACCAGAACCAGATGGTTTCTGCTGAGATGTCCTAGCAACTCCCATGCTTGAGAGCTTATGGGAGAGAAATGGGCTGAAAAAATCTGCAACAAAACCATCACTTCTTCAATTTCTCTTCTGCTTAAAAGAACTGGACTTTAAATATAAACCTTGTAAATAACTCTGATTACATCAAATTTATTCATCCTTCCTCATCTGTCTCATCCTTCCTCATCTGTCTGCAAGCAGAATTAGCTCACCAGTATTCACTATTTACCAATCCTTCAGGCCAGCCTGCTTTTCTCAGCTGCAGTGGCCTTGTTGAAAAGGAAATACTGCTGGTTTTCTTACTGGTTGCTCTGCAATGCTCTCAGTGATGCAGAGACTGATAGAGAACCTCAAGCTGGGTGTAACCCTGCAAAGCCTGTGCCAAAATATTACGGCTAACATTTCTCAGCTCATGTTTTGAAAATTTTTTGGATGCATAAACAATGTTGTCCTTTAATAGATGAGGCTCTAAGACAGAAGTGGTTTGTGTTCACCAGCCCAAACGCACAGCAAGGCAATATCATGGTGTTTTTGCCACCTGTAGTAGCTTTACTACAGACAAGCAAAGGGCCATCAGCAATTAAAAAAAGCCACTTCTAAGGAAAGCCAGTCACAACCTTGCTAAAAAAACTCCAACTGCCTTCAAATTGGGCACCTCAGGTAATCAAAATCTCTCTTAATCATAGAAAAGGTGTCAGCAGATACTACAAGTAATAGCAAAAGCTAGGTTTTACTTAGAGCTGGTATACCCCAAATGGTCTTGATATGGATTTGAAAATGATAAACAGGACAGAAGGGCCCATTGCAAAATGAATTACCACAGTATGTAAAAACGCACCAGCAGAGCAGCTAATGGAAACACACTGAACGTAGCTGAGAATCAGCTTTTTGGAGAAGAAAAGCTGGTTTTTGGGCAGTCAGGTTCAGCAGTGAAGTTCAGCACTGCCAGATTAGCCCCTGTTTATTTACAAAGCCCTGCTGGTTATCTAAATAAATCACACTGCGCTGGTTTGGCTCCCACCTTGTGTGCTAGACAGGAATTAATAGAAAATAACAATCACCAAATCTCCAGCCTGAAACTGGATTTTAAATCAGCCATGCTAAAGTCTGAGACATTTTCATGATTTAGAGTTGCATGAGTCAATTGCCCATTTCCACAGGTTTTTTCAGTATTTTGACAAAGTCCTTTGATCACCTAAAGCTGAAGTGAAAAAACCACAATGGATGCCTGTTCCACTTGGCAAACCCCAAACTCTCCCACTTTCCTGTCATCATTTGTGTCTTTCAACAAATGCTTCTGATACTCAGATACACATCCAAACAACATCTTCAAATTAGGTATTTGGTCCCAATAACACTGAAGTCAAAGTCAGAGCTTTATGGACCTAAGCATCAACTTCTCAGCCACCTCTCAATTGCAGCAATAACCTCTCCTCTGATTACAGCAAATCCTCACAATAAACAGTCACAATAACTCTGAGCAGTGCTACAAGGACTTTTATCTTACTCTACAAACACAAGCAGCTACTTCTTTCCCTTCAAGTTCAGCCTGTCTTTACTGCCAGGAATCAGCCTTGCTATACTTTCAGATCTATTTGCTCTTCCTCTCAAATTGGCCTTTTTTCACTTGGCAGGAGTTTGCTCCTTGCACAAAACAACTTCATTTTGCTCTTTCATCTCTCTCCAGAGTACTCCTCTGTTGGGGTGTCATTAGAGATAAATACAAGAAAGATAGTGAAATGCGTAACTACAGGAAATTAGTCCAACACCATTTTCTGTACAAGTTATCTAAAAAATTAGTTTTGGAAGCTATTAAACATCTTCCAGTATAACATCATGTTGGTAAACAGCACTTTCACAATTATTTCCCTTATGAGAGGGTAGGTTATTGAGAGTTTTACAAACTCTGTCCAGATAAACTCCATTCTATTACAGACAAAGGTGTGTGTGTGCTTGGATTTTAGGACCTGTTCCACAGTGTGCTCCTGGAGGAAGAACAGGGGGCTCCTCTGGATTACAATCCTATATATTATCTTACAAGGAATGCACCAGTACCACACCAAAACCTGTGATGGAGGAGTATTCTTGAACATATGAACACTGCTACCAAAAAAACACAGTTTTAGCTGGCAGGATTGACTGGAGGAGCCCTTGTTGCTCCGCAGGAGAGGACAGTGACAAGTAGTGGTGCCAAAGGAAGGACACACTGGATTTAGAAGTCTTGGACTGCAGGTGGCCCAGTGAGACTTGTCATGAATATCAGATGCTGCCACCAGCACTTGTAGGTCTCAAATGCTGGTCACAGAGATAAAAATTCCCTAAGTCAGAGATATCCATGAACACAAGGGACTCAACAGCAGCGGACTCCCAGGAGTCACAGACAGACCTGTGGTACATTTAAATCAGAAAGAGCATCCACAAACACCAGGTCATGTTTACTTTACACCACAGATGTATGGATTTAGTTCAAGAGAGGGCTGTCACCAATTCCTGACAACATCCTGAGCAGCTATTTAGAGTACATGAGCACTCATCAATGCACCCTCAAGCCTACAGCACACTGGGACAACTTCAAAACAGAAACCAGAATTTAAGTCCATCTTTGCTGAAACAGTGGACAGGTAGTTTTTGTAAATATAATGGGGATTTAATTCATTTGTTTTGATTTTTCTTAAGAAGTCAGAACAGAGAGCATCAAAAAGCTCTGCTACTCAGCAAGCAAGCCTGCAGTTACAGGTTTGAGCTTAGTTCTGAACGTCTGAAATCTATTTTTTTCTATATTATCTCCAGCACAAAATTAATATGTACTTGTAGTGTTTATAAGACTGTTGGCAGAAATAAGGTTATATTAATTAGCTTAATCTAATGAATTAATTAATAAAATGAGAGTTAATGTTCTCATACAGAGATGGAAAAAAGCTCCCCACACACACCTGAACAAAGTACTGCCTACATGCCATGCATTCTTACTTTTGATTAGTTACTATACAATTTCACCTGGAGTGTTGTATTCTGTGTCCCCATGTTCCAAGTCAGCTGTAGATCCCCTTTGAGAGAGACTGACATGAAAACTAACCATTGCTTTTGCCTGAATGGTCACAGGTTAGATAGCCCTCTTCTTCTGATAGATGTTCTCAGAAGACTGAGCTTTTAGAATAAATATATTGTATTTTAAAAACAACAAGAAAAAAATGAAATATTTTGAGACTTATAATTTCTGTGTCGGTAGCAGAACTGACACGTCATTATTCAGTCAGTTTCCTACTCCAGTTTTCCATAGACAGATTTTGTTAGTAAAGATAATCTTTGTTTGCATCTACCTATTATGCAGTCATTATTTATTTTTAAATTGTTCTGGTCCTGCATTAAATACATTTCCTTTAATAAGATGAGCAACAGTACTTGTAAATCAGAACATCTGTAAATGCCTGCAATCTGCCAGACAGTCTTGTGCAAGAGTAATCACTCCAAATAAATGTTACTTGTAATGCTCTTTAATATTATGCCAGATAAAGGGATTTTAAAAATGTAAAAAGCCTAAAAGGATAGGAGTAACATCATATCCCTGAAATCATCACCAAGTGTCCATGTTTTCTGAAGTTCACATATGAATCACAAGCCAACTACTGTCCTGGCAGGACAGTAAAGGTCCCAGAAGGGGAATATGCATGATGTTCAGAGGAGAAAGAAAAGGAAATAGAAAAATGGAGCAAAACCTACAGATTATCATGTTTTATGGACAACATAATTGTTCAAGGGAGTGTTCATAGATTAACTGAAACAATTAAAGGTGATGCTTTTGAATTAAACTGCTTTCATTAAAAATGCAAAGTTGGAATGGACTGCAGAAGAACATCATCATGATGTTATTTATCATTAGGCCAATACCAGTATTTCCTTTCATTAGGACATAAGTTATAAAGTTGTAAGGAGGAACTAATGGCAAATATCTACACTTTCTCATTCTTCACTATTTAATGATGTTATTTTGCTAAAAACTAGGCAAGCTGCTTTTAAATTATCTTGGATTAACCTAAAATAGTGTTTCAGAGAGATCATCTTTGTCATTGAGCTATAAGTTTAAATTTTAGCTTTTGGTTTCAAAACGGGGTTAAAAGGCAAACTAGTACTGTGATCAAAATGCTCTAACAGCAACTACAATTATCTACTTAAACATGGCTTCTGAAAGTGAAAACACCCAAAACAAACGACTAGTTGGAAAACTGTTGAGCAGCAGGAATTAATGTTTTTCACAATTCTATACACAGAAAGCAGAAGATGCTACAGACCTTATCTTTTACAACTATTGGAGTGATTTTTATGACTTAATTCTCAACAAAATGTGCTTCAATTTCACAGTTAGCAAGAGAAACCCATAACTGAACGACAGAGCTCACAGACATGAAAGGACAAATTTCAGAAGGGTGACTGAGGCATTCTCCCCTCTCACCCCAAGCCACTGCGAAAGCAGAAATTACCCTGGCAGAGGATGTACTGAAGTAAAATTCTGGGGCCATTGGCAGTTACTCTCCAGCACCAGGAAGCTGGGGAATGAATGTTGTTGCCTCTCCAATAATGATGAAATGGCAAGGTTTTACTGGCTGCCCAAAGAAGACTCTGACAGACAGCTTTGATAGACGACTTAGTAAATGGAAAACCATCAGATCCGTTTACATTGAAGTAATGTCTCCAAAATAACTGTCCCTGCTCTACTGTCTTACAGCAAGAGCCTCCCAAAATCACCTCAGGTTTCTGCTACAGCCTCAGCTTCACTGCACTCTTACAGCAATGCAGCCAGGGAGGGACACTGGGACAAAACTCCTGCCACCAAGATCCTTCTCCCACCTCATTCAAAAATGCATCCAAC